TTTACTTAGTTAACTTTTATCTTATTTATGTTCTTATCTTGTTTATTTTTGTTTATCTTATTCATTATGTTTAGTTGGGTTTATTATGTCAAGATGAAAAGATTATAGTAATGGTGTAATAATAAATATAGTGTAAACTCAACATGGATCTTAATATTTGATACTAACATGTTTTGTATTTATTATCTTATTCACTTTTAATACTTTGTTTGTTAAATGATTAATCTAGATTTATGTTGTATAACACTTGGTACAACAAATATTTAGCACTTTCATAGTTCAACCGTATAATATAACCTACATTTATGCTATGAAAGGAACTTGATTTGTTGTTAACATAAGTTATAATCATGAATGTCTGATAACATTTACAAGTAATAGCATTATTCGAGTAAAATAACTAATGTAATCATGTTAACAATTTATGATCCGATTGGAAAGGAGATGGTTTCCAGTTGAATAATAAGAGTTTATACTATACTTGTTTAAAATACAATTAGTGGATTCTCTAACCTTGATATTTCTTATTATTATTGTTTAATCCTCACATTGCTCTTCCATCTTAAAATTCTTATCAACTTTTTTCTTCTTTTTTTTCTTCTTCTATTATTATTGTTGTTGTTGTTGTTGTTGTTACTGCTGCTGCTTATAATTTATACAATTAATATCCTTATAGTTTGATTCCGATCTTACCGAGTTATTTATTATTTTGACACTCCAGCACTTGGGAGAAGACATCAATTTTTTGGTCGAGTCAGAGATTGCATCAATTGAAAAAAAAATAACACATGAAAATTGGTTTCTAAACCAAAACAAAAGAAGCTTTAGATGTTAAGTTGATTTACAAAGAAAAGAACAATGTCAAAAGAGAAGAAAAAAGCTACAAGGCAAGATTCGAAGAAAAAAACTATAGTCAAAAGCAAGGAATTGATTACAATAAAGTTTTTTGCTTTAATTGGTAACACTAAAGGTAAGCTACAAAAAATTAAAGACATGCAAACCAAAAAACTTAATCTTATTTAGAAAAATCACAAATCCGATTAAAGTTTTAGAAACACAAACGTGATTTGAAAAAATAAAATTAATGTTGAGTACAATGGTGAAACTACCTTCATCAATTTCTAGTAATGATGGAATGCAAACAATATCAATGCTATTAAAACACGATATCGTGAAGAGAAAGAAAAGATGAAAGAATAACAACAATTATAATTGAG